CATATTACATACAAGGAATTCGTAATAATTCAAGGTGACTTGGAACAGAGCGTACCTGTCGGAGAGTGACAAGGGATGAAGTTAGAAAGGTCAACCAAAAAAAAAAAGAAAGGTCAACCGAGCTAGATTATGAAAGGCCTTGGATGTCATACTAAAAAGTTTAGGCTTAATTCTAAAAGGATAAAGGAGGAGTCACTGAAGTATTTTAGCCAGGAAAATCACTAGCATATTTGTGATTTACATAGATCATTTTTGCTGTAGTACAAAAGTTTACAAGGCTACTGCAGCAAAGTAGGCAAGAAACAACTAGAGATTGAAACAATTCAGAGGAGGAGGCGGGGAAGGAAGTTGTTTCAAGAATTTATTGGCCACAAGGAGTGAGAAGGAGAAGTCTGAGATTAGAAGATTTCCAGATTTCTAAACGGTAGTATTAAGGAGAAATGGTTCCTTTCTCTCAGATAGGGTAGGATGTGGTGCTGAGTGCAGGAAATGAGTCATTCTGGGTTGGCTATGTTGAGTTTGAAGTACCTTGGATAGTCTCAAGATCACCTAGTATGATGTTTCTGGTGAGGAGATTGTTATGAAAAAGATAAATTGTCTATGTGGTCAGGAAATCCTGTGAAGCTGGCTAACAAAATCCTGACTTTTTGGAAGGTTATGGAGGAATCTCATAGATCTCAACAGCAGGGGGTAGAGTTGAGGTTCCCACATACTAGAAATTTGTCTGTAGCTACTGTTCATCTTTCAGTTCATCTTTCAGAGGCAGTGTGGTTGTTCTGCTTCATTTCTGCTTCATTCTCTAAGCTTCTGTAGCAGATTTAGTTATTACTTCACCAGAACATGGATTACATGGATCTAGGGTTGTCAAGAGGCTGACCTTGGCTCAACTCCATATGACTTAGAACTCTGCCTACTTGTTTCTGCCTCTAAGTCTCCAAGTCTCAGTTATGAATTCCAGCGAGAGAGAATCTGATTGACTTGCTTTGGGTTAGGTGACCACATGTGGACAGAGGATGGGTTTATGTGGGTTCTAGTGCTGTCCCTGCTAGACTGTGGATTCTAAGAATGGAATGTGAGCAGGTAGCACATGATGGGCTGAGAAGACAGGCAGTTGGAGTACAGTAAGAAGAGTATTCAGTACATAAGTTTGAAAGTGTTAGTCACTCAGTTGTGTCTGACTCTTTGTGACTCCATGGACTGTAGCCCACCATGGAATTCTACAGGCAAGAATACTGGAGTGGGTTGCCATTCTCTTCTCGAGGGGATCTTCCTGACTCAGGGATTGAACCCTGGTCTCCTGCATTGAAGGCAGATTCTTTACCATCTGACCCACCAGGGAAGCCTGCATAAGTCTGAGCTGGAGATAAAGATTTGGGGAAGTAGTTAAAACCAAAGTATTGGTTGATATTACCTGGGGAAAGTTCAGACTTTTAGATCTTTATTTTTAGATCAAGATGGAAAAAAGAACGTTGGGGAACAGCAGTGTTTAAGAAGCAACAAGAGGAAAATAAGTCAGTGGTAGAGACAAAGAAAAGAAGGGTAGTGCTACAAAATCTAAGAAAGAGGAAGAGACCCACAGGGTCAAACCCTACAGAGGCTGAGTAAGATGAGAACGGAAGAATGACAAGGAAACAAGTAGTGAGGAAATACCCAGTGAGAGGTGGAGATAGAAGCCGGATTGCAATGGGATGACATGAGTAGAACGTCAAATAAATGAGAGGTGAAGGAGTAGAGACAATTTCTTTTTTAAAAAATGTGGCTTTGAGTGGAATGGGGAAAATAAGGCTGAAGATGGATTTATGGTCCAGGAAACTTTTATATACTAATCAAGCCTCCCCAGGTTCTGGGCTGGGGACATATCAAGGACAGAGCCAAGACAGTCAATATTTGATGAAGGCAAATCAGGAGGGGGTTGAATAAGATGAACCAGAGCTCCAGAGATTGGGACAATTTTCCACTGAAATGACAGGGGAAATGGCATATCAGGGGCTGTGATGTGTGTGTTACTGACTATATAAGGGGGTAGTCAGTAACTATTCTTGAATAATAAATGAATAGATGCGTGGAGTGGTGATTGAGCCAGTGTGCAGAACTTAGGACTCCATTTCTCTGGGGTCTCACTTTAAGGCAAGAGAATTGGGTCGTAAAGGTAGGCTGAGGCAGGCCTTGGCTTGCCAGCTTGAATGCTGAGTGAGACAAACACGGAGGAAAGGCCTTTCTCCTGTTCTTCAAGATACCCCGATGGAGGGAGGTGTGGGGGAGGTTCAAGAGGGAGGGGGCACATGTATACCTATGGCTGATTCATGTTGATGTTTGGCAGAAGCCAACACAATACTGTAAAGCATGCATTCTTCCATTAGAAATAAAGAAAAAAAGGTAACCGATGGCAACCCCTTCAGTTACCTCACTTCTCAAGGAAGCCAAAACTTGGGATAGCAGGGACCGTGAGGGCTAGGGATTACGGTCGTGAAAAACAACCTTGGTTTAGGGGTCAGGAAACCCTAGATTCTAGCCACTTTCTGAAATTCACTGACCACATGAGCTTACACAAACTGTGTAACTATGTATCTAGTTTCTTTATTTGTAGCAAGTATGTGATGTGACCTTCTCTGCTCATTTTAGAATACAGATTTCACAAAATGCTTTCAAATACACGTCCACGTGTATGTATTATAAATATTGTAAAGCACAGTGCAGCTATAAGGTCCCATTAATTTATTCTCCAGGCATTCTGAGAGTGTGGCTTGCTTGTGCAGAGTCCCCGTGGAGCTAATTCTAAGCATCCAGGACTGTGGGCCAGGTTCCTTCTTGGCAGCTACACGTATTGAGTGCTTGGCCTGACTAAGAGTGTAGAGCATTCCTGCTGGCACAGAAAGAGCCTGCAGGGAGAAGCATATTAAAATCACAAACTCATTACTTTCTCAAGATTAGGACACATAAAATTCAAACAGCTTTATAAATTGCCTCCAGAAATTGTAAGGCAAAAATTAACTCTGCCTCAAACTTAACATCCGCGTTATGAAAGTCCCTTCCCTCTCTCTCCTAATTATGTCCACCTCTGTCACCATAAATCAAAAGACAACATAAGCATTTCCCTCTGCAGAGTTCCCCAGCTTCTCTATAGAAATGAAAGAAAACTAAAGACATAGGTATATTTATCATCTTTTAGCTCAGTTTCTGGATTCCTATTAGGTCCTCTGAGTAACTTCCATCATTGCTGGTAGATTCAGATGACGTGGAAATAACTGCTGGTTTTCATGGCTGGCAGAACACGTATAAATTAAACTAGTAATACCTGGCAGCTACGTCTCGCTAACACTGTAAAGGTTAATGAGATAGTGCTTGTCAATCAATTTGTATTCCTCATCTTCATATAAAAGTATTTATTATGCCAAACTGGACCAGACGTGAGTGAGGGACTGTGCCATGTATACACAGTTCCCTGTCAATGGTGTGTTTTGAAATCAGATTTCTGGTTTCTTTGTTTTGTTCCTTCCCTGCGGCTTCATTTCCAAAACAATGACTTCACTGACCTTAAATTGTAAAAGCTAGTATCGTCACCAGAGGTTTTAGTTCTTCATTTGGCCTTTTCTCCTACCGTTTTTTCTACCATGACTCAAGTTATCAGATATCACTTGGAGTGAACAAAGAAGGATTGTTTTAAAAACAAAATAATGTAACCCATTTGGGCTGTGATTAATGGAACTTATAAAGAAATGATAAATGGATGTTAGGGAGAGAAAGGCTCAGTATTGATAAAGGTTATAATACAAAAGAGAGGGCCCTAATCCATAGGAGATGTACAGCTATAAATCTATGTACAAATTTGTTTCTGTCGAAGTCCACCAGAAACGTGACAATTCTCCTGGATGAAGGCATGCTTCAAAGAGGATGGCTGTAATCCATTGGAAACCACCTGCATTTCTTAATTCATCCTGTAAATGTTTGCAAAAGACTTTTAAGATTTGGCTCCTTAAAATGAAATACTTACAAATTATGGCTCATGGAGTCCACAACCAAAGCTGCATGGCCAGAAAGCTTAACAACAGCTATTTCTCGTATCAGCTGGAGACTGAGAAAAATATGTTTTGTTCTTTTCTCTAATAGCTAATTACTACATGTGTAAGACAGCATAAATCTGTAATTTTTTTTTAAGACAAGGTAAAATTTCAGATGGAAACAAGAGGGCCTCTGTTTTGGTGATGTAGCATTTGTTGACATTCCAAAAGCACACACACATTTGAATAACTAGCTGCTATTAGAAAAATGATTTAGGATCAACATGGCTAAGTACAAAATAAGAACAATGGGTATATAAATGCTGATTCAGAGAAATTATAGTGTGTTATGGTGGAAAAAATATTGGACATATATTTATATACATGATATTTTTTTACTTATGGAAAACAAAATGATCTTATTTCACACTTGACAGTTCTAGATCTAAATAATGAGAATCTTAACCTATAAACTCAGGAATACATTACCCACTAGACTCTAAGTTCTCTGAGAGCAGGGTCCCCTTCTTATTCACATTTCCATCCTCTCATAGTGCTTTGAACAGGGGGGTGCACATAATTGATCCTTAATATATATTTTGCATGAAATGACATACATTTGCTTTCTCACTTTGCCCTCATATAACTGCCAGAATGTGCCAAGGCACAGACATGACAGTTTTTTCTCCCTTGAGATGTTTCTGGGCCCCCAACAGTGTACAGTTGGCAGCAATAAAGGAAGCCTAACAATGTTGGCATTCAAAAGACCTGCTGAGTGTAATGCACAGAAGTGTCACTACAGTCACGTGAGAGGAGTGTGCAGAGCTGTCCAAAGGCAGCCGACACTCGAACTGCTGATAATAGCTCAGCTTTGGTGTTTCCTATTTGGAAAAAAAAAAGAAAAAGAAAAGAGAAATGAAACAAAGAGAAAGAAAAGAAGGAAGGAAGGAGGGAGAGAGGGAGGAAGAAGGATCTGGAGCTAATTATTAATACGAGTATTACGATTTTTTGGTATTTTATTGAATTCTGCACATAACATTTTCAATGAAAACACTTTAAGTCCAATGACAGATTTATAAAAGAAACCAGGTGAAAATGTCACATAATTAACTCACAGGTATTTACTGTTATTTACTTAACAGAAGGCCTAAAATTACTATGTCAGGAACATTACAGAACACGGCATAACAGTTTAACTTTACAATAATATGTGATAAATTAACATAATTCAATGTCAAAGGAAGACAAATGTAGAAAAATATAGAATGTTTTGATCTTACATTTTATCAGAACTCCATTATTTATTATGTCATTGTTTAAGAATGACTATTATTTCATTCCATACAAAATAATACTTGTTTGACTTATCTGTTTGAGGAGGAGAACTAAACTTAAGGTTACAAAATTTTTAATTCTGATATGCTATAGCTTATATTTCATTTAATTATTCACAGTAATACTTCATTGCTAGTCAGTAAAAGTACAGAATGTATCACAGACTGTTAATTTACAAGGGAAAGCAATTCCAGTGTCTCTCTGTTATTTGAAAAAAGAATTAAAATGTAGCATTATGCCATTGATTAACGCATGAATGTTCTCCATATTTGAACTAAGAAGTCATCAGATTTTAATTTTATACAGGAAATTACTTCGGTGAATTTTTAAATATGTGCATCAACTTTACCATATATTTGATCTATGGCTAAATGTTAATAATCCTGTTGTCTAACACTTGATATCAATTCTTTTTGAACAGTTACAGGAAATAATGAGGTTTTCTTAAAAGAAAGGCAGTTTTTCTACTCACTCCCCATTCCCTGTCCTCCCCTAATCACAGAACACATTTGATGAAAAACAATAAGCTGAAAAATGGCCAATATAGTGGGTCTTAGAGTATGTTTTCTCTGAATTAGAATGTTTGCAGTTTCTTGGGTTGATTACTGTTTCTTTCAACTGTTCATAGGTCAGTCATTACGATGGACTTTTTAAAAAGGAAATTAGAAAGAAACCAGTGGAGAAGATAATTTTTCAGTCCAGTGTTTTGATATCATCTGGATTCAATGTCTGTAGTCAGAGTGTGGGGACTTAAATATGTTTTAGATGGAAAATGTTTGGCTATCACCTTGTGGGAGGACTCTATTTTAGAAGTATATTTAGAAAGGTCTGACAGTAACAGCAACAGTGCCTTGTGAAATTTCCCAGTGTATCATTTGGAATTAAATTTTAGTTAAAGTCTTAAAGATCATGGCAGTGGTAGGAAAGAAAAAACTTGACAGGGAATGAAAAGTGTAAAGAACGTGAAATGTAAAATCATTTGCTGCCTTTACGATTTTGGACAAGTCACGATCTTTCTAAACCTTTGTTGTTTAATCTCTAAACTTCAGATAGTATTACTTTATAAGGATTATTTCAAAGGTTAAATAAGATATGTGGATGATCTTTGCAAACTATGAGATAATAAACAGGTATGAGGCATCTCTGTGAAAAAAACTGAAGTTCTGTAGTTGTATTTGTTACTCTGTTATCTGCAAAATCACTTTCTATCTGCATAAGATTAAAAAATTGATTCTAAAACATTTAGCATATTACACAGAAACAATACATACACTGTTGGCTTTCCCTTGTATGTGTAGAAACTTTTTAACAGAAATTATGTCATTTTACGGGATAACTTCAAAAATAGTCTATACAGTGCCTTTAATAGGATATTCCTATTTGGTTTATAATCATACAATTTTATGGCATTCAGGAAAAACAGTTCAACAGCTAGTTTTATGTAAACTAAATATGTAACCTCCCCACCCCAAACCCAGTATAAGAGATCACACCATGGAAACATTTCACCAGAAGAGATACTACTCTGGTTTGTTTTCATATGGTCAGTTCACAAATTGTTGTAAGATACACTATTAACACGATATGCTAGAATCACCATGTAGCAAATTTTATCAACTTTAAAAAAATGGTTAAATTACTTCTTACAAAGATTACTAACACATACATATAAGACTCAGTTACAGCTAAAGTGAAAATTCAGATTCACGTAACCAAAATGATCAGATTAAATGTTTTAATGAATTGTTCCACTAATCAAAACATATATTTCCCATTATGATAGAGGCCTTTAAAAGCTGCCCCCTTTTCTGAATGGAAGGATATAAGACTATAATTTTGGACAGATAATCTCAGTATGACAAAATATTTCTGTATTATTCAAATGGACTATCATTTAAACAATTGCCCTAGTGTCCATATTTTAGCGTCTTTTTATCCTAATCTCTTTCTACCATAAACCAGCAACCAGAATACACTCTTCTTTTATAGTGGGTATACTTATCTCTTAGCTATGTTGTGCAAAACCTATATTATATAGCCTTTCATTTTCCCAACCATCCACTAAAGCCAAACAGAAGCGTTGGTTTATCCCTGAATTTTGTTTCGCACTCCTGAGCAAAATTAATTACAATATGGCTCTATCAAGCCTCTTTTGTATTCACAAAAATTTATAAAATTTTGTGACTATTATTTTAGGTTATAGCCATTGTTTCTGGAGCCAAAAGGATATTAACTTTTAAATGTGACAAAAATGCACCTTACAATCAGCTACGGTTCACTGGGAAGCATATTCAATTCTGATTTGCTAAGTGTTTTACTCAACTACAAAATTTTTTCATAAGGTTCACTTGAACAGACATTTCATTTAGACAATTAGCAACATTAGAAGATGAAGTGATAAATCATAATAATTAAACCATGGTTAAAATAAAAATATTTACATGCCTTATGTCTTGCTGAGGTCGATTAGCAATATTGGAAATATTAACATTTGGATTTGCAGTTTGTTCAGTCCATGAGCAGAGATTTGGCATCTAAGTGATTGGAGGGAGCGACATGGACATGGACATGTATATTACAGCAATCCTAAAACAATATAGAATTCTCAAAAACGTAAAGACACATACAGATTACTAAAAGAAATTGGGGCTCAGAGAGGTTAAAGGAACTTTCCTAGGGTACATGAGAGTTATTGGTAGAACCAAAATGAAAGCACAGAGATACCTGCTCTACCAAACTGCAGCTTATGTGGAAATAATCAAGAGATTGTAAGGCAAACACTCCTATCTCTCCAACCTTTTTCCACCTTCTCCTACTCCCATGGTTATAATGTTGAGCATGATAAAGCTCTGTTGCAGTTTTAGCATTTCATATATGATTTCAAATCACCTTAAACATCAAATTAAATTTAAAAAAATAACCTCCCTTCCTTTCCAGGTACTTCATTAATCTGTTTCCATGCCGCAGAGTGAGTTTTTAATTTTTCATGATCCCATTTAGAGACCAGTGACAATTCTTAGAGGAGAAAAAAAAATCCCATATCCTTTCTCACAAGCAACTTGAAGAATGATATATTTATGACACTTTCAAGACTTAAACCTCATTTCAATTTATTCATTCTTTCAAAATTACCTAAGAAAATCTGAGTCCTTAAGTCTGCTTCAAAGACTTTTCAAATGCATATAATGAGAATTTGGGGACTGGAAAGGCCTTTTGAGATTAACCCAGAACATCCATTTGCAATCAGGAAACTGAAGCCTGGCAGTAGTAAGTGATGCATCTAGGCAGTAAATAGGTAAGAATTCTGGTCTCCCAATATCTAGAGTAATATTATTTTTACTACCCATTTGGTGAAACATATTTGCTATGACAGTTTCTTCATCTGGTACCATTCTGTGCTTTTATCTCAAAAGTCCAGATTTTATCTTTATTTGACACTGTAGCCTACAATAACGTGGATATGATATTAAACCTACTATGATGCTTAAGGTTGTGTCATTGGTATTTTATAAAGGTAGCTCCTGTGTCTTATTTTGGTAACACCTATTGATCTTTACTAAAACATCTGCATGTCTTAGGCCTCCTATTAGGACAGTTGATTGGTTTGTTTCAATCATCCCAATAGCTGATGTGACCAGGCTGTAATCATCGGTTATGAGTTATTAAGGAGGTTGGAAATGGACTATTCTCTGGGCCAGTGTCTCTATTACATGGGCTAACACAGAACAAAAACACCTTGGTGGCTATATTTTCATCTTAATCACAAATTATCCAGATTGGAGGTGCACATAGCTCAAATCTGAGATAGTTGTCATTTTTTACTTCAGTTTTTCCCAGAGTGATCTGGTCTCAAAATTTTGACCAGAGAAATTACCAGCAGATTGTGCAAAATCATTGTAGACATTGCCTCAAAAGAAAGTTACCTGGATTATATCTTCTATCTGTTTGTTTTGCAGCTAGTAGGTATAAGATTGTTTCAGTTACTGATTCTTATACATTAACAATGAAATCCATGACCCGTATTTCCTTCTATGGGACATCATAAAGTATTATAATTTTGACTTCCCTATCACAATACTTTGATAGTAATTGAAATTCTATGAGTACTCTTAACTTAGCATTCTTATGCATTTAGATAACAGGAGATGGGAGTTTTATGCATTTGGTCACCATATTTTAGAAATGAAAAGAGTCTTCTTTATATTAAATGTTCACAGTTTGACTTTCTATAAGGCTTATTAAATAATATACAAATAGCTACCATTCTGCTGAAATGTCACAGTAAATACATTAATAATGGCACAGAAGTGAAATGTCCCCAAATGGGAAATCATTTTCATGACGTCCTAAGTTACTTTTCCAAATAAAACTTCGCTTTTCTTTTTTAACTGAAAAAGTTCCATTTCTAAAAGAATATAAAAATAGAAAATGAGTCAAGAAGCATTTTACAGCTATGATTTTTAAGGAAATTCTAAAAACAGTAGATCAAATATATCTTTAAGAATGTGCTTTGTCTCGCCACATCAAACACTGCATAAAAACTAAATTAAATGAGTATATTATATATGAACTGTTGAAAAATATTAAGATAGATAACTTAAACATATAACTACTAATATATTTTTGAAAGTTAAGCTCAGCTAGAACCTACCTACAAGACTAATTTGCAAATCTATCATTTTGAATCAAAAAATAAAAGAATGTTTAATCAAGCAAGGCACATTTCTTTTAGGCAAGTCTGTCTTTAATACCATTCATCTGGGCACAGTGTAGTAGACTTCACTTATTTACACACAATGGACTAATATCTATGAGAGCCTTTGGTACAAAACACTTTCACAAATAAAGCTGTACACAGAAGATAACATTAATACATATCATGATTAAACACAGTCCAGTAATTAACTGAAATAAGAGAACAGTATAAGAAGTTGGCTTATTGGAAACAAGCATTTAGGCTTTCTTTATCAGCAGTACCGATTAGTTTTTGGATGATTAAATATCACCAAAATGTCAAATGACACTTTAATATTTTTCATGTTCTTCTCTATCTCTTGGTCAACACCTTTTCTACTGCACACAGTTTGAAGAGAATCCTCCAGCTTCAGAGCTGTTTCTTTTATATGAAGCATTTGTTAGAGACATGTTATTTAATGTCAACTGAAAGTATGTATTAGCAGAATATCACTGCTCATTAGCAATATAATCAACACTGTATTCATTGTTCTAGGCAGTTTACAAAGAGCATTCTACTGGCCAGTGCAGCTCTACAGTTCTTTATGTGGGGCTCTTCTGGGATCTGTTGGACAGAGTAAACACAATAATTTACTGTAATTTAGTTTTAAAAAAATTATAGCCTAGGTCAATATAAAATATTCTATTCATTACACTTTTAAAAACTATTCACTGTTACGTTGAGAAGTTTGAGTGATTTAATTTGCGAAATGTATTAACCACATATTGAGTGCTTTTAATTTATGTCAGAAAAAGTTTCAGAGTATTCTAGAATTATGAACTTTCCCCCCCTTATTAATATTGACCTCCACATGTAGTCTAAACCAATGTGATTGTTCTTTGAATAGGAAAATTTATATTCATCTTAAGAACCATCTGAAATGTACCGAGTGCCAACTGATTTTTAGAAAAAGACGTGTATCAATTTCTCAATGTATTTTCAAGGGCTTGCTTTTTTTCTGTACATTCCACTGTAGTAATCTAAGATGAGAACTCCTTCGAAGTGAACTGAAGTCTCATGCTCAAATAAATGTTATGAAGAGGGAAAAAAGGAGAGAGCAAAACAGTCTCAAAATTAGTGTTTTGATAACCATGTTCTAGGTACTGTAGTACCTAGAACTACAGATATTTTGTATGATCAATTATTATAAATAGCTTTCAAATATTACAAATAGCTTTCAAATCTACTGATCCTTTAAAATATGAACTCCGCATAGTTGTATACTATTTTAAGAAATAAAAAATTAAGACAACAATAACCACTTAACCAGGGTTTGTGGAAAACCAAGAAATAAAGTTCAAGTTTGTTGTTTTCTTCTCACCAACTACAAAAAATTATTTGGAAATGCAGATGGTAAAGTGTTCCTTAAAAATAGCATAAAGCAGCACAACTGTCTTATTCACTGCTACATTCAAAATCTAGAATAGTGTCTGGCACACAGACACTTTATATGCTGAGTGAATGAATAAATCCCTACTACTTTTTACAGTGTAAATTGGATATACAATTTACTGTGAAACAGAAAGACAAAAACAGAAAATCCTACACCCAGCTTCAGGTTTCAATATGTGAATATTATCCATCATAATACAGAGAGAAGACTGTTTCCCATATGTACTCTTGGTTTTAGCAGGTATCTCAAAACCAGTGATAAATGCTTAATGATGGCAATTTGGAATCTGTATGCTTTTCATGGAAGAATCATTCACTCACTGAACTATATGTTGTATGCCTACCATGCTGGGAAATTATCTAATGAAAAGTCTTACCTTTTTAGCCTGGATTATACTTGCTCATCCTTCATGAAAAAGTAACTTCTTTTTAACACTAGTCTTTAGTTAAAAAGTAAGAGTACATTCTTGCATCACAGTACACTTAATGTTCATTATAAAAAAGTTTGAAAATTACAATGGTCTACTAGTTACTGATGACTACTAATTACAAGAAAAGTAACATGATGATAAAACCTTTTTATATCCTCGGTGCCTAACTTCTGCTCAATGCCAGTGCAGCTTTGGCTATCTTGAGATGGTTCCATTAAGCTATTCTTTTCTTGACACACCCTTTTTATATAAGGGGCTGGGGCTTTCTTTAAGTTCATGAGCTAATACCTGCCTCAAGGCTGTTAGGATTAATAACAGCTTGCCATCCTAATAGACTGCAGGTGTGGAAGGAGTAGTAATTCAACAGAAACAAAACAAAACAAAAAAGCAAAAAGTAAAAGTGATATTTAGATGGTAATCATGTTGTTTATATTAGGAGCTAAGAAATGGGTTGAAGGACTTAGAAAAATGAACTTTGGCTTAAGTATCAAAATTACAAAAGAAAGAAAGGAGGTATAATAAAAAATGGTGACATAATTGAAGCTATTTCACCAAATAAATGTTCTAACAAACAAAGCAAGAAAACAGGATAAGAACAGTCAAATTTCAATAGTAACTGAAACTGTGTACAGCTCCTGTGTCCTTGTCTTTTGAAGTAAAATGCTGACTCAAGAGTTAAGATTGGGGGCTTTGATGGTGGCTCCGTGGTAAAGAACCCACCTGCCAACGTGGAGACACGGGTTCGATCCCTTATCCGGGAAGATCCGACATGCCGTGGAGCAGCTAATGTGCCACAGCCACTGAGCCTGTGCTCTAGGGCCCAGGGGCTTCAACTACTGAAGCCCCATGCCCTAGAGACTGTGCTTCACAACGAAAGAAGCTACCACCAGGAGAAGCCCCTGCACAGTAACTAGGAGCAGCCCCTGCTCACCACAGCCAGAGAAAATCCTGTGCAGCAACAAAGACCCAGCACAGCCTAAGTAAATAAATAAAAATTTTAATAAAGAGTTAATGATGGGGAAATGTGAAGATGTAGAAACAAAAAACAGCACCTGGGCCAGGAAACTGGTAACAATTTAGACTATAATTCTGCCACATAACAGAATCTTTGAACAGCCTTTTCCCTGAAAGATATAGATGGAAGCCTGGGACACATTCCTAAGTTGCTTTTACAGGAAGCAGACCCCCCTCCAGATGAAAGCATTGACCACACGAACACGGACCCTAGACTGGTTGAAACTAGAAAGCTGATGATGCTTGAAACTTCACCTTGATGCCAACCAATCCGAGAACTGTGCATGAGCTGATCTTGCTCTGCCCCTTGAATACTATAAAATTTCTTACTACTCCCCGGGGGTGGGTCACACAGACTTGAGGGCAACAGCCTGCTGTGTCCTCATTTGCATGGAAAAGCAATAAAAGCTACTCTTTTCTACTTCACCCAAAATTCTATCTCTGAGTTTCTATTCAGCACTGAGAACAGAGGCCAAATTTTGGCAACACATCAAGCCTGTGAAAAAGTAATTAAGACTTCCACCCAGACCTAAACTAATTCTTGAATGAAAACTCAGTATTCTTGCCTCAAGAACCCCATGAACAGTATGAAAAGGTAAAAAGATATGACACTGGAAGATGAATCCCCCAGGTCGGTAGGTGTTCAATATGCTTGTGGGGAAGAGCAGAGAAATACCTACAGAAAAGAATGAAGTGGCAGGGCCAAAGCACAAACAATGCTCAGTTTTGGATGCATATGGTGGTAAAAATAAAGCCTGATGATATAAAGACTAATAGTGCATAGGAACCTGGAATGTTAGGTCCATGAATCAAGGTAAATTGGATGTGGTTAAGCAGATGGCAAGAGTGAACATCACCATCGTAGGAATTTGTGAACTAAAATGGACAGGAATGGGTGAATTTAATTCAGATGACCATTACATCTGCTACTGTGGGCAAGAGTCCCTTAGAAGAAATGGAGTAGCCCTCATAGTCAACAAAAGAATCTGAAAGGCAGTACTTGGGGACAATTTCAAAAACAGCAGAATGATCTCACTTTGTTTCCAAGGCAAACCATTCAACATCACAGTAGTCCAAGTCTAAGGCCAACCACTAATGCCAAAGAAGCTTAAGTTGAACAGTTCTATGAAGACAGACAAGACCTTCTATAACTAACCACCCCTCCCCCGCCCCAAAAGATGTCCTTTTTATCATAGGTGATGTGAATGCAAAAGTAGGAGGTCAAGAGATTCCGGAAGTAACAGCAAGTTTGGCCTTGCATTACCAAATGAAGCAGGGCAAAGGCTAATAGAGTTTGTTCAAGAGAACACACTGGTCATAGCAAGCATCCTCTGCCAACAAAACAAGAGGCGATTCTACACATGGACATCACCAGATGGTCAATATCAAAATCAGATTGATGATATTCTTTGCAGCCAAAGATGGAGAAGCTCTATACAGTCAACAGAAACAAGATCTGGAGCTACCTGACTCAGATCATGAGCTCCTTATTGTAAACTTCAGGCTTAAATGGAAGAAAGTAGGGAAAACCACTAGGCCACTCATGTATGACCTAAATCAAATTCTTTATGATTATACAGTGGAGGTGATGAATAGATTAAAGGGATTAGATCTGGTAGACAGAGTGCCTGAAGAACTATGGACAGAGGTTCATAATACTGTATAGGAGGTAGTGACCAAAACTATTCCAAAGAAAAAGAAATGCAAGAAGGAAAGTGGTTGTCTAAGGAAGCCTTACAAATAGCTGAGAAAAGAAGAGAAGTGAAAGGCAAAAGAGAAAGGGAAAGATATACCCAACTGAATGCAGAATTCCAGAGAATAGCAAGGAGAGATAATCAAACCTTCTTAAATGAACATTGCAAAGAAATAGAGGAAAATAATGGGAAAGAACGGGAAAGATTAGAGATCTCTTCAAGAAAACTGGAGATACTAAAAGGACATTTCATGCAAAGATAGGCACAATGAAGGACAGAAACAGCAAGGACCTAACAGAAGCAGAGGAGATTAAGAAGAGGTGGAAAGATTAGATAGAAGAACTATACAAAAAAGGTCTTAATGACCTGGATAACCACAATGGTGTGGTCACTTACCTAGAGCCAGACATCCTGGAGTGTTAAGTCAAGTGAGCCTTTAGGAAGCATGACTGTGAACAAAGCTAGTGGAGGCGACGGAATTTCAGCTTAGCTATTTCAAATACTAAAAGATGATGCTGTTAAAGTGCTGCACTCAATATGTCAGCAAATTTGGAAAACTGAGCAGTGGCCACAAGACTGGAAAAGGTCAGTTTTCACTCCAATCCCAAAGAAAGGCAATGCCAAAGAATGTTCAAACTACTATACAATTGTGCTCATTTCACATGCTAGCAAGGTAAAGCTCAAAATCCTTCAAGGTAGGCTTCAACAGTATGTGAACCAAGAACTTCCAGATGTTCAAGCTGGATTCAGAAAAAGCAGAGAAACCAGAGATCAAATTGTCAACATCTGTCAAATCACAGAAAAATAAAATGAATTCCAAAAAAAATCTACTTCTATTTCATTCACTATGCTAAAGCTTCTGACTATGTGGATCACAACAAACTGGAAAATTTTTAAAGAGATGGGAATACCAGACCACCTTGCCTGTCTCCTGAGAAACCTGTATGTGGGTCAAGAAGCAACAGTTAGAACCTGACAGGAACAACAGACTGGTTCAAAATTGGGAAAGGAATACATCAAGGCTGTATTTGTT